AATATTGTTACAAGGAGATATGTACAAATTTCAACAGAAAAATTATTTTTTTCAAAAACTTTATTAGAAAATAAAATGAATATCTATAGAGAGTAAAACAAAAAAGAAATTACTCGAAATGTCGTCCTTTTGCCTTGACACAGGCATTTAATCTTCGTGGCCAGTCATCAATAGCATTACGCAGCACTTCTTGAGGAAAGCGCTCAACTACTCGGACCAGAGATTGTTTGAGGCTTTGCAAGTTAGGGTGTGCTCTGTGGCATGCCATCCTCTCCAGTTCGGACCAATCTAATTACCTAGTGGGTTGAGATCGAGGCTTCGTGAGGGCCAATCCGAGGCAGAGATGATCTCTGGAATGTTCTTTCGCAGCCACTGCTGAGTTGACCTGGCCTTCTTAGCTGGAGCGGAATCCTGCTGGAAAACCCAATGACTTCCAGCAAACAGAGTATCATTTAGAGGCTTGACAACAGGTTCCAAAATATCGTCCTGATAGTTTTTAGCGGCTGTTTTAACTCATTTTTTCACAAAAAATTGAGCTTTGTGGTGCCATCAATGCAAACTCCCCACCAAACCATCACTGAGAAAGGGTGATGATCTCTTTCCACTCTTCCAATGATTTCCTGGGCTTCTTTAGAGCAGCGTGCGTACACACTATCATTTTGGTGAATAAATTCGTCTTCAATTGTAAACATTTTCTCATCGCTAAACAAAATCTTTCGATGAAGACCATTGGTGTAACGGCCAAGGAGCATTTTGCATCTATCTACACAAATGTTTTCTAGGGAAATGGTTAGCCTTTGTCCTGCCATTATTAGAAATGCACCCATCCAAAGGTCATTTCCTATTATGCGAGACATTAATCTGATAGAGATACCCGTTTCCTGAGACATGATTTGTTGTTTTCAAATGGGATTTCTTCTGCTCTCACAGTGCGGGCCCGGTAGAGGACTGCTGCATACAGATAGGAACTATATACATGTTTATAGTGCGCTACACAAACATACGGCTGATATTCAAAGGTTTCAAAGTGTTGAAAATCTCTGACCTACATTTTCCAACTTTCAGTAAGAAGATCACAGCTATTCGGTTTTTTTTTTATTACCTCACTCCATGTTAACTGAGCGAAAGAAAAATACAAACTAATTGGGATTATTATCCTGGCATGTAAAGAAAATAACCTGCTAGAGGTAAGGATTATCTGAATAATACCTAAAAATGTAAACAAAGTTTAACTTTTGTAACAGTATTTATGGCAGAACTAGGTATATAGGTAAGTGAAAATAAAAAAGTAATAATTAACTCACCATAGAATGAAATAGATATTGGCATAAATTAGCAGAGGTATAAACTTTCTAAGTATAATAAACTTTATTTGTCTCACAAATATACAGTCACATCTAAACATACACACACGCACACACAGATCAGTTTGCAATACTTGGAATATAAGTAAGTGAAAGTAATAAGTTGATTTTTTTTTAATATAAAATTTTACCATTGTCAAAGAAAGCATGTGGTATGCAAACAAATTAGCTTTTTCCTGAATCTGATCTATGGGTGAATGAAAGGTGTAATTGGTTGGAAATTTATGGAAAAATGCTGAGGATTATGAAGATGTTGGACAGGAATCAGGAAATTAATTTTAGTAGGGGTATAGAAGAATTGATACTTCTATTAATTAATTTAAAGAGGAAAATGACTTCTTTTTGATGATGCTATGTGCTAGAGGATTAATATTTATATCGATTTTCTTATTTCAAAATTACTGGTTTTCCAAAAATGTTTATAATATCGACACTCGATATTATCCATATATCAAGCTCGATATTTTGGCAGTATCGATAGTTATAGAACGCTATTTTAAACGATGACAATATGGATATTGGCTTTCGATCTCCCACCCCTAGTGCCTTTGTAACGCTACTGAACTGGATTCGCTTTTTTTTTTTGCTTTGTGAACTTCACTGGCACCAAGCCCAACCAGAGATACTGAGTGTTTTGCTCGAATACTGACCTTTTTAGGGCACCAAAGAATTACTACTATTACTACATCAGTTGATGTCAGAGGATTACACTGAAGTAGTGATTGAATTCCCAATAGTGATTTAATTTAAATAAAATACTTGGTACTCGGTACTCATAAATAAAGTTGTAAGAATGCAAATAATAATATATTAGTTCTTATGATGACACACAGTCAATAAAACATCATCTGTCATACAAGATTTAACATAATCCTTTACAAAATATTTATCATTTGCATTTAGAGTAACATGTACCCATTTTGTCCAGTCCCAGTTTTGCCAACTTCTCTTACTATAGGTATCTACAGTAACATATTTCTCCACCAGTGGCGGCCTTAGACATTTGGCGCCCCAGGCAATCAGGCCACCGGCGTCTCATCTCTTTCTCCGCAAAAATAAAAATACAATTTAGGAGGAGGAAATGTGATATATGTGAAGAACATTATATATTACTTTACATTTGTATTTTATTTATTTTAGTATACCTCTAATTCAGTTGCTTTATTTTTACTTTTTTTTATAATACCCAACATGAAGCGGGCGCCACTCCAGCCGGCTAGACCTGGGCACTCTTGAAATAATTTATTTCTAAATAATTCACATGGTTATTCCACGAATGAATTATTTCGGGAATAATGGTTATCTCTGAAATAATATTTCAAACTGTCAATAAAATAATCCCGATGGAATAACTCTGAAATAATTATTTCACTATTCTGACATTCTTTGGAATAAAGTAAATTATTTCGAATTGAGTTATTTCTGAAATAAATTATTTCATAACTATTATTTCAGAATTATTTATTTCATAAATAAATTATTGCAAAAATCAAGAAATGTATATTTCAGAAATAACGTTGTTCTGAAATAACATAAAAAAGTTACCAATATGCACCATGTTTTCGGGGTATCTTTTTATGAAAATAGTGTCGAATTTGAGATTGCGCCCCTCCCTCCCCCCTCCCACCCACCAGCATCGAATTATTGTAAATTTTCGGATTTAATCAATATCAGGGTCGACTATAATGTTTTCGGGGTAGCTTATTATGAAAATATGGTCGAATTTTAGATTGCGCCCCACCATCCCCCCCCAATCGACTTTTAGTAACCTTTCGGATCTAATCGATATCAAGGTCGACTATTATTTTTTTTCGGGGTAGCTTATTATGAAAATACGGTCGAATTTGATATTGCGCCCCTCCTCTACCCCCCCCCCTCCCAATAGACTTTTAGTAACCTTTCGGATTTAATCGATATCAGGGTCGACTATTATGTTTTCGGGGTAGCTTATTATGAAAAGATGGTCGAATTGAGATTGCGCTCCTCCCTCACTCCCAATCGACTTTTAGTAACCTTTCAGATTTAATCGATATCAGGGTCGACTATTATGTTTTCGGGGTAGCTTATTATGAAAATACGGTCGAATTTGAGATTGCGCCCCTCCCTCACTCCCAATCCACTTTTAGTAACGTTTCGGATTTAATCGATATCAGGGTCAACTATTATGTTTTCGGGGTAGCTTATTATGAAAATATGGTCGAATTGAGATTGCGCCCCTCCCTCCCTCCCAATCGACTTTTAGTAACCTTTTGGATTTAATCGATATCAGGGTCGACTATTATGTTTTTGGGGTTGCTTATTATGAAAATATGGTCGGATATGAGATAGCGCCCCTCCCTCCCTCCTTCTAATCGACTTTTAGTAACCTTTCGGATTTAATCGATATCAGGGTCGACTATTGTGTTTTCGGGGTTGCTTATTATGAAAATATGGTCGAATATGAGATTGCGCAACTCCCTCCCCCCTCCCAATCGACTTTTAGTAACCTTTCGGATTTAATCGATATCAGGGTCGACCATAATGGTTTCGGGGTCGCTTATTATGAAAATATAGTCGGATTTGAGATTGCGCTCCTTCCTCCCCCCCTCCAATCGACATTTAGTAACTTTTCCGATTTAATCGATATTAGGGTGTCCTCTTTTTTGATTTTTGATGTTTTAGGGGTCTTTTTGAAATTCGACCGTGTTTTCTTAATTCGGTTTTCTTAAGTTTTCGGAAGGGCGCAATCTCAGATCTACAAAAAGTCGAGGGAGGGGGGCGCAATCGCAAAATCGACAGTATTTTCATATAAAGCTACCCTGGAAATATAATAGTCGACCCTGATATCGATTAAATCCCTAAGGTTTCTAAAAGTCGATTAGGGGCGGGAGGGAGAGGTGCAACTCGAATTCGACCATATTTTCATAATAAGCTACCCTGAAAACATAATAGGCAACCCTTATATCGATTAAATCCGAAAGGTTACTAAAAGTCGATTAGGGGGGGATGGTGGGGCGCAATCTCAAATTCGACCGTATTTTCATAATAAGCTAACCCGAAAACATAATAGACCAACCTGATATCGATTAAATCCGGAAGGTTACTAATAGTCGATTGGAGGGGATGGTGGGGCACAATCTCAAATTCGACCATATTTTCATAATAAGCTACCCCGAAAACATAATAATCGACCCTGATATCTATTATATCTGAAAAGTTACAAAAAGTTGATGTGAGAGGTTGGGGAGGGGCGCAATATCAAATTTGCAATTATTTTTATAATAAGCGCCCCCGAAAACATAACAGTCGACCCGGATATTGATTATATCTGAAAAGTCGATCAGAATGATTATTTCACAACATTATTTCTGAAATAATCATTTCAGATATCGTTATTCCTGAAATAACTTATTCACGAAATAATCATTTCGGAAATAATGGTTAGGTTATTTCATGAAATAAATTATTTCGGAAATAACTATCGAGGTTTCTTTAGGGATTTATTCCGGAAATATTTTTCAAATAAATTCTGCCCAGGTCTACAGCCAGCATGTGCCCGGGTCGCCCTGCCTTAAGGCCGACACTGTTCTCCATCATTATAAAGTTACCCATCAATAATATATTACTAGTTAAATTATAACTTTTTTTTTGTCGTAGGCGAATTCACAAAAAATAATCTGTGCTGTAAAGACATCTGCTACTAAACTTCATAATGCTGAAGGCAGTCAAGAGAGTCTAAACCGATCATATGCGACTGCAAAGTTGGTAAAATCCATTGTTGCCGGTTTGAATGGGCATCCTACAGTTGAAACAGTACTTTCATATCAAAAAATAATCAACAATGCTGATTATTTTTCACTACCTGTCCTATTGGGAGAGAATGGCATAATTAACCACATGACATTACCAAATATATCCCAACATGAAAAACATCTTCTATTACATGCTATAACATCTATGGCCGCTGATTCTAAAAAGGCTAAACATTATTATGATAAACTGGTAAATAATTTAGGAATACCTATTAGAGCTCCACAAAACAAATTAAATAAATTGAAACCTCCAAACAATCCAAACAAACATCCGCAATCACAATATGCATCGGTTCATAATAGAACACAAAATTCATTCCAAAATACAATGTTAAATGAAACATCTCCTTCTAGTATGAAATTGAAATCCATCATAGATCACGTTGCTTCAACTATTTCTTCTTGTAATAAAAGTACAAAGACAATTGTAGATCAAAATAAATTAGAGAGTCTTAAATTTGAAAAAAAAACGAAACATAGTGTAAAATTTAATCAAGTGAACGATATTGCTTTGTTAGCCAAACAAGATTCATTCAAGGGATTACGTCCAACAGAAAAAGCAATCAGTGCCAAAAATACTATATTTGAATACAGTACTCAAGTTTTAACCATGCCTAAAAATATTAAAAATTTAAACCCAAAGGAAAATATTACTTCTAATGACCCAATAGTTAATTACATAAACAAAACATCACTGTCTCCTCAACTTAGTAATAAAGAAAAAAAATGTGTCATAGAGAAAGATAATTTGTCTCTTAAAGATAATAATAAAGAAAAACAATATACTACTTCAGAAAACGTATCTACAGATACCTCTCAAAAAATCCTTAGACCGGAAAAGATCGAAAATAATTTTACCTCTAATATTATAGGGGTAATTAATGAAATGCAGAACAGAAAGAGTATGCCATTCGCTACAAAAGGCGCAATCAAGAATCAATCCGAAAATATGTTTGATAACAGCACTAAAGTGAATAATTTTAGTTCAAAATTTAATACAAAGAATGATAAGTATTTGGACTTATTTGGAATTAAAGCAGCTAAAAAGGATGATAAAAATGTGAAGATAAATAAGGCTGATATAAAATCAATAAGCGATATTAGCTTCCTCATTCCTAGCGAAACTAAAACAAGCGGCAAAAAATATAGTTTACAAACAAATCAGCCTCATTGGATTTTACACAGTATGTTATTCAAATCAGAAAAATATCAGTCTTCAAAACGACCGATATTGTCACGATATGTATCGTCCGAGTCACACGATAATCAATTCAAAAATAAACAATTTACAAATATCGCCCCTGAGGAAGAAATGAGACAGGTGTCGTCACTTCCGAAACCACAAACAAATATTAATGAACTACAAGAACCGTTATGGTCGCGATTTATATCATCAGAATCACGGGACAATGAAATAAAAAATAAAGTATATGAAAATTTTAACCCTGAAAATAGAAAAAATCTTCAAACGTCACTTCCCAAATCCCAACAAAATATTAAAATCCCATATGAAACATTTTCATTAAGTTGTAAACCATCAGAATCTACTTCTAAAGAAATGGAAAATAAAGAGTTTATAAATTTTAATTCTGAGAATAAAATAAAACAAAATACTTCACCTCACAAGATACAAACAAATTTTAATAAACCCCATGTATTCATACGGTCACAAGATGCATTACCAAAACCTAATGATGAAGGAACGGGAAAAAAATTAGTTGAAGCTATTAACTCGAAGGAGAATGTCAGAGAAGTGAAATTAATTCCAAAATCAAAAACAAACATTAATATACCACATGAATCAATAGCCATCACCTCGGAACCAGGTTGTAACGATAACTTATTACCGACTCCGTATTCAAGATCACTTAAAAATTATAATGGGCAACGAAAAATTTATATCAACCCTAAGGTATCAAGTGATACTTGTGTTTTTGAAAATTTAATTCAGAAACAGAAAAGTAGTATTTCTTCTGGACATAAAGTTGCCTCATTCAGAACTGAAAGATCAGAGGATACATTTTTCATACTGCAGAGAGAAATGATAAACACTAAATTGTTAGACAAGGCAAATCACAATAAAAATAAACGAAATGACTTGCAAAAATTACACCTTTTAACAAGTAATTCGAAAGAATGTGTCACGAAGAATAAAGTTCCTGAAAATCAATTCAAATCATTAGGAGTAGAAGATCTTCATTGCAAAAATAATTATTTAAAACAAAATAAAGAAAATTCAATGATAAATATTTCAAAGCAACAAATATCTGAAACAACGGATAAAAATATGGATAATGGCCGACTTTTGTGTACCACAGGAGATAAAAAAAATAATTCTACTTACAAAGGAGAAAGACGTGAAATAGACAATAATTCTAAAAAATATGATAATAGTGATATATTAAATGTATCAAGCAATCAAGTAATGAGTACACCCTCCAAATGTATGCAAAATGAAACAAAATTAGAAATTAATGAACCAGGTTCAGGAAAAACGAAGTGTGGTATAAATGACTATCATATATGTAAACCAAATGAAAATGAATCTTGTGAAAACAATAGTAATCCTTCTAAATTAATTCAACATTCAATTAATTCAAAATTGGATTCTGAAACTGATTTAGTTAATGGTGAAGGAGTTAATAAGATAAAAAATTCTTTAGAGCATACATCGCCTAAAGAAATAGAAAATGCTACTGTATGATCTAAAATATTTTATCTATAAAAAGGTCCATAAATAAACTTTTGTCATTTGTTTCTCTCTCTATTATACAAACAAGTTTTCAGTGACTCACATATTGTATTTTATTTTAGTATTAGGAGAGTGGGAGAATACAAGAGCTCACCTATTAGCTCTATATTTAGCACTAATTGTACAACTGTTCATTTAATTATATATACTAGTGTTCGCCCAGCGGTCGAAATTCGACCATAGCCATTAAAAATTTGAGGAAAAGATATAATTAAATAAAAAATAAAGTAAATAAATAAAGAGTAAATCACGATTCTAAAATCCTCATTTATTAATACAAATAAAATTTCAATTTCAATTAAAAATCGAACTTAAGTCATTAAAAATTATTTATAAGTAGTACAAAATATACTCATTCAAAAATATTTAATTTTCATTTTACTTTATGTGTGTTATTATCACAATAAATTAATGTTATGATTAAGCAAGTAAAAAAAATTTAAATTAGCAATTTAAATTCACTTTAAATCCATTTTTATTCAGAACTTCTATGTAAATAATGTTCTTTTTGAATGTTCTGTTATTGTTTAGTGCATAGCCATGCCCATTGTCATTGAAAATATAAATTTCAATATTTTAAATAAACGTGCTCTAATTGCTGCCACATATAATTGTCCATGCGAAATTACTGGACGTCACAATAATATACACATTTTTCCAAAACTTTTATCCTGCGATTTGATTATGGTCATAGCAAATGCAGCTATGATAGGAACGTTGTTCTTTGAAAGTCGAATGTAAGTATAGTGTCAGAAAATGTTAAATTAATTCTTGGAATTAAAATTCTTTAATTTAAAGTAGCCCCCGTTAATACTTCAGTCTCATTCCTGTTCCATTAACTAATGCTTGTGCAGTATTTAAGTTAACAATGAGTATAACTATAGAATATATTTTTAAATTTAATTTATTAGGTATCATTCCACTAACATTACATGATATCATCTCTTCAAATAATAGACCCAATTACCTCAGTAAATGAAAAGTTTTCGATTTATCAAAAAACAAAATAAAAGAAATCGAATTTGGAAGGGAAAGAAAACGTACTAAATGTTTAAAATGATATATCTCTGCAACAAATAGTCCGATTTCGATGATTTTTTTTTATTTTGTAGGGAATTCAGGAAGCTTTCAAATAAATATTGGTATTATTAGTAAAAAAAATGTGTACTTTTTGAGTTATTCGCAAATAAAATACTTAATTCATCATAAAAATGTATGCAGCTTGTTTTCGGGAAAGTATGTTATATACATAAATTATAAAGGTTTCAAGGGGAAGACTTTAGCCAAGTTTCATTGAAATCGTTGAAGCCGTATTGGCGCTACAGTCTAAAGCGAATCACGTTTTTCGGCCGCCATTTCGAAAGGAAAGGCCCGATGATAATGAAACGTATACAAAAAAACTTCTAAATATTATTGCGACGTTGTGTCAAAATTTAAAAGAAATCGGTGAAGAACTTTCGGAGATAAGCCGTTTTGAACAAACTACCATTTATATTTTTATTTACATACTATTTAATATTTTTATTTATTGATAACACTAAAGCTCGTCAATATCTATTAAACAAAAAAAGAAGGAAGAAAATCGGTTGAATAATAGAGGAGTAAAAGGGGCTGAACCGATTTGTGTTTGCCTATTTATATAATGATTTTGAGCTCCTGTAACCTTCTATTTTCCTAACACAAAGTAGAGATTTACACTGTTGAGCTCCTGTATCCTCTTATTTTTCTAATATAAAATAAAAATTATAGACCGAAAATTTGTAAGCAAAATGGTATTAATCTGGAGATGATAGCTTGATTTTACCTAGATGACAGTAGATATTTTTGATGATGTAGAGATGGTTGACTGTTGATATAATATGAGAAGAAGTCAGTCGGGGGTGCGGTCAAATAAATACTAAATTAAAATATAGTAATTATTTTAATTTTTGCCGACCTTTCGACCCACTTTGCAGGTCGTCTTCAGGGCTACAAAATATACAAAACATGTTGAAAATAAAAAATAAATATAAGTAGATATAAAATAAGAAGAGGTTGTCAGATACCCGACTAACTCCTCATAGATATTTTTGAATCTAGACATTTTGTACTTGAATGCAATATATTAATTATGACATTATATATAATCTTATTTATATTGTGATATATTTATAACTGGCTGATGAACCAGTCGTTGACGGGTGTGTAGTTAAAATTTGAGAATCTTTTTATGAGATGGATTTCGTACAATGGGAGGAGGAGGGTCCAAATTCAATTTCATAAATTTGGGCCGGGAGGAGGAAGAGGGGTTGTTTTTTATGTCGGGGCTTATGGAAATCTAGGTTTCGCAATAGTCATAACAAAAACTTTGTTATTCGGCTGTTTGTTTAGGTGCCAAACAACTAAACCGACCACCACCGATCCATTAAAATTTGTTAAGTGTTTAATTTTCATTTATGATGAAGCGAGGAGATTGTGGAGTTGGTTAATTAATCAAAAAGTGTTGAAGTCTCTCCACTTCTTCAACTCTGCTGAGTTTATTGCTGGAAAGATAACCAAAATAACATTGGACATTGAGTCACCTACATCCGTGTAAAATTAGAACTTGATCTGAATATGTTGGCGGGCTGGATGAAATTTTTGGGAATTTTCTATCCTGATTTCCGGCTAATCCGTTTAGTTAATCCTACAAATATATACTGCAACATTTGTTAGGCGGTATTAGTACTTGAACCGGAAGATCGGGCAAAGTTGAAAACAGTGTGTTTTTTTATCCGTTTTAAGCAACAAGGCGTTACAGATGTTCGGTATTCCGGATTTTCCCCATTGAATTGTGATAATTTTTTCCATCAGTTGAGTAGTACAAATTTTAAATGTGGCTCGCGATACAGTAGGTTGGGATGGGAATTGAAGTAAATAACTGCCTAACCGGGATCTCTAAACAAATTACTCAAGAATTCATAATTTTGGTTCTACTCAATATGTTATTTTCATTTAAAGCCTTTATTTTAAGTAAAGCAAACCTAAATATAATGCTAAAATTTCACAAGTCTACCATTAGCCATTGTCGAGCTTACCCCTGACAAAATTATGTTGGACAATGCTGACATCCAGACAGACACAAATTTTTTTAAAAGTGGATTTAGTGTTTACAATTTACAAGCCATTGCTGAGCTTACCTCTGACGAAATTTCGTTGCAATGCGGACATACAGACAGACAAAAAACATTTTTAAAGTGGATTTGGTGTCTGCAATTATGAAACGTTAAGATATCATAAAACGGGTTGATTCTATTCAATGTACAGACAAAATCTTTATTTTATTTATATAGATTATTATGAAATAGAAAACAAAGCACGCTATAAGTTACTATGTAAATATTAGAAAGAAAAGGCTTAAATTGATATTGGGCTTATATGAAGCTAGATAAGTTGAATATATATTATGGTTACAAATTGGCAATAAGAATAATTATAATTATATCCATATGTGCTTGTTTAAGGTGAAAATTGTTAAATATTATAAAATAAGGCTCTGTTTATTTGTTCACCATATTTATTTTAAATTTCATAGGTACGTTTCGGCCGGTAACCAATCTTCAAGCCATTTTATTCAACCATACTTTTTGCATGTAGTCCAAAGTCTGACACTACATGCAAAAAGCATGGTTGAATAAAATGGCTTGAGTATGGCTTACCGGCCGAAACGTACCTATGAAAATTAAAATAAATATGGTGAAAAAATAAACAGAGCCTTATTTTATTATAATTATATAATAATATAAATTGGCAATAAGGCGACATGTATAAACTAAATTTTCAAATAAATTAACAATTTGTTGTGAAATTAAAAATTGTGGGCGGATTCTGGTTTCGTTCAGTTTATTTTATGTTGATAAAAAAATAATACAACCTGATCTGTCGTATAATTTGGAAAAAGGTATATCTGTTAGTAGGCCGTGAGGCAAACAGCGGTTACTCCTCTAGTATTTCTAAAAAATTGAAGAAAGTGTCCAATTTTACAAAACTTTTGTAAAAAACAATAAATATCACCACACTATAAATTCTTGACATACTAAAGTACATTTTTTTACTGTCTTTAAAGAGATGATCAAATTTTCCTTAACGAACAGCATTTTCAAGGCACTTACTTAAATACTTTCAAATAATTTTCTTATTTAGAAAAAACAAACAAAAATCTATCTATAAATGATTTAGAAAAAGTTGGATACAGAATGTGGATTTGCAATTACTAATTAATACATTTTAGCATCAGTCAATTTTAAAAACCACAGCATAAATATGTGTTATAGCCTATAAAATTATTTACATCAAACTTCTGAAAGAGACTGATCATTACTGCTGATGAACTTTGACAGGTACTTTATACAATATATAACCTGTATACTTCATCTTGATTGAACATGACTTTTCTAGTAATTTTAGAAACTATAAATTCCTATCGACCGTTGTATATATATATATATATATATATATATATATATATATATATATATATATATATATATATATATATATATATATACTCATTCAACAGTCGTTATATTTATACATATTTGCTAAACGTTTTGTGAAATGTTTTCACACCAGAAAAATAAAAGACATTCGCAAGGAAGTTGGACTGTCATATAATTTTGAAATATTAAACATTATTGTTTAGACAAATTAAAGTGTTCTTCTTCTTATTTCTCTCCTAACCATTCGCCTCTCACCGTGGGGGTGCTTCCAGTCATCGGTTCCATGCAAGGTTCCTCATCTCTTCCGGGGTCTTCCCTCTTCGTCTTCCAATTCAACTTTTTGTTTCTTCGCAGTTAACGAGACCAATACTTTTTTCCTGTCATAACAAAACTAATAAAGATTGAATATAATAATATTTATGGAGTTCAAACAACTTTGATATTTAAGGAGGAAATTAAGATCACGACGATTTGGTTGAACTTCAATAGAAATAAACACAATCACAAATAAGGCGCTTATTTATGTTTTAGGCCAGTAACGGTTGGAGTCGACCAAACAAAACATTATAATTTGACTTTTTGAATAAAACCTAAAATTTTATAACCCCATAAAAATATTGTCTTAACCTAACT